GTGTATGTTTTTGGTGCTTGTGAGGGAAGAAGGTGGTGGAAGATTGCATTGTGAGTCCAAAGTAAAGAAGAACTTGTAACATCCATAAAATTCGAGCCAATTTAAAAAAATTTCAATCACTTAAAACCATTCAGTCATCACAATTTGTTTTCAAAATAGTTTAAACATCAGAGTTCCTAGAAATCATAATCATCAATCAAGGAAGTATACGGTCACGTCTTCGCCTTCCCGCGACTATCCGCTGAACCTGAAACAATAAACTGAAATTGTAAGCCCGAAAGCTTAGTGAGTTACCCCCAAAATACCCATACACACGACAATTCACATATAATGACAAACAACATAGTATGGGTCCAATCATCCATCGTGATGGTATACCCCAGGCCCTCAACTACCACGTTGGAATGCCAACATACTACGAGCCCAATCATCCTCAGGATGGAATACACTTGGCCCACAACCATCGGGTTGGAATGCCCACAAATAATACATATATAACAGATACTATGGGTCCAATCATCCATCGGGATGAAATACCCTAGCCCCTCAACCATTGGGTTGGAATGCCAACATACTATGGGTCCAATCAACCATCGGGTTGGAATACCCCAGGCCCTCAACCATCAGGTTGGAATGCCAATATAACCAATCAAACATGTGCACCTATATTAGATAATCATATAACAGTCTAAAAAGACAACATACTAGGGTCCTATCATCCTCGGGATGTAATACCCTCAACTACCAAACAATCATGTGCACATATAATATGTAATTACATCACGGTCTATAGACAGACAAACCGATCTAACAGATCATAACAGCATAACAACATCCTATCTACCAGGATACTGCTCTAATGGATCACAGCAACATACAACATCCTATTTACCAGGATACTGATCTAACATATCATAACAACATATAACATCCCATCTACCAGGATACTAATCTAACATATCATAGCAACATATATCATCCTATCTACCAGGATACTAATCTAACCAGGTCGCTAAGATAACATAACCTCATCCTAACTACCAGGATGCAAACCAATAAGCATATCATGCCATAACCAGATACAATCCATAAAGGGTCGGCCTTGGTGCCTTAGACCCTATTGATAACTCACCTCGCAACCGCCGACTTGAAGGATAAGCTCAAACTCTAGGATCACCGGCACAAACTCCACCGCCAATAATCACCATAGAACCATGTTGTAAATTTCCAATCTCCCAAAATATCCCCAGAAGCCAACTGGTCAACCCTTGTTCAAAGTCAAAGTCAACAGTCCATGTTGACCTCAACTCGTCAAGTACCCTTAGCTACTCGCCGAGTTCCTTGCATAACTCGCCAACTCGCCGAGTCACTAGAGTGACTCGTCGAGTTCCTAAGGTTTGTGGCCGTAAACTCCTTGGCCAACTCGTCGATTTTCCCTTGCAGCTTGCCAAGTTCATACATGTCCAAAGGTTGGGAAAACCCTAGCCGACTCGCCGAGTCACTCATTTGACTCACCGAGCCCACGACAATCTTCATCACCAAGTTGACCATGCAACTCGCCGAGTCCCTTCAGCCCTTCATCCCTACAAATGCTTTTTAAGCCATGCAAAGGCTCCAACTTGTAGATCCAGCCTCCCAAGGCATGCTTATCACGTAAAGTTGCAAACTTTACATGCATGCAAAGCTCTAAAGTCTTAAAATGACAAAACTAAGCTTGCAAAGAAGTCTCACACTTGAGGGGAGGTTCATACTTGCCAAAGATGACAACTTTATGGACTTAGAGACCCAAGAGAGTTCATATATGAAGTTGCAACTTCATATCTTAGCTCGAACACAAGAAAATCTTCCTAAAATCCACCTAAAAGAGATCTAGAATGGAATGAGGCGAAGCTAACAAATTAATACCTTCCAAAGGATGCCAAATAAGGTAGATCTCTGATTCCCACGCGTTCCTTGCTTCTAGTTGCTGGTTCCACAAGATTTTCTCACCAAAAATCCTTCTTCAAAGCTTAAGACACACAAATGGAGCACGCTCACACGAGTTAGGTCTATGGGGTATCAAGAGGCTGTGAAGGGGAGGCTAGGGAGGCCAATGATCCTTTAAATAGGGTGCAAAACCCCATAAATTAGGGTTTCATCCTTCAGCTCGTCGAGTCCTATCTTGGACTCGACGAGTATGTCACTTAAACACGTGGCCCAATTCGCTTCTACTCGACGAGTTAGGGCATCCAACTAGTCAAGTAGACCTTACAATTTATGAAAGTTAAAGCCATAAAATTATCACCTGAGAGTTGGGGCGTTAGAATCCAGGAGTTTACCTTCTTCTAGCATCTCAAGGAGGTATGAAGTCTTTATCTTGATGAATTAATGGATAGATCTTTGGATTTTCCCCCTTTTTCTCTATGTCTTGTTGCCTTGGGTGGTTAAACTTCATAAAGCTTGCAACTTTATCATTCTCCAGGCCATTTGGAGCATTTGGATCTTTAGATCTAGTAGAGAATTGATTTTTGAGGCCATACATGGAATCTTGGCCTTTTTGCCCCCCCCCCCCCCTTTTTTTTTACTTAATAAGAGTTTAAGACATGCATTGGACATGCATGTCTGAAAAGCACCAATTTTTATGGTGTGTTTGGTGTTAGATGCTCTTTTGAAGCTTTTGGTCAAGTAACCTCATGGATTGGAAGATTATTGCTTAAGCCATTAAGTGTTCTGGATCTTAAAGTTGATATCTATACATTTTGGAGGGTTCTATTGGATAAAGTTAGCAACTTTATCCATATAGACCTTGTTTTGGACCATATCTGATTTAGAGACCCTTTGGAATCGAAGAAAGTGGCTGAATGCATTAAGCTGTTGAAAACCCTGTTACCACGACGTGGCGAGGTCACCACGATATGGTGGCGGGGCGGTTCACGACTGTTTTGTCGTATTCGACACCATGACATGGTACAAGGGTACTACGACGTGTTGGCCATATAAGTTGACTTTTCATGACCTTTTTTACCATTTGGCTTAGTTGGACCCAAGGGGTATTTGGGTATTTTGGTTTATATTGAGAATTGGTCTTTCACCCTAGTTTGGATGCTTAGTGTGATTCGGGATCCAATTATTATTCGGATGTTATTTTGTGATCATAGCGCGGGGGAATTTAGCGGGTCAGCAACCAAAGATTTATCTGTGAGGTTCAGCAGTATCAAACGAGTTTCCTTATTGTATTTAGCGAGTCAAAGGCACCAATGTCGACTCATGGTTTGTTATGTAGGGTACTAGATGTCTGCATGACTCTTGCATGTATATGTGCTTGTATGCTTATTGGGCGGGGCCCAATGGTTATTCTGTATGCTAGTATCTAGTTATGCGTTTATGATTTGTATGTGGGTGGGGCCTGTTATGCGAGTTTGGGCGGGGCCCGTTATACTTAGTGGGCGGGGCGCGATGATTGTACAATATGCTACTATCTTTGTGATTTTCGCATGTGTTTGTATGTTTATATGATTATATGATTATATGATGTGTATGTGGGTGGGTCCCATTATATGAGTTTGGGCGGGGCTCGTTATACTAAGAGGGCGGGGCCCATTATGCGAGTTTGGACGGGGCCCACTATACTTAGTGGGTGGGGCCCGTTATATGAGCTTGGGTAGGGCCCATTATACTTAGTGGACGAGGCCCATTATATGTGTGATATGTGATATTTTGGGGAACTCATTAAGCTTCGTGCTTACGATTTTCAATTTATGTTTCAGGTACTTCTGTTTTCTAAGGAAATAGTTCGGGATGATTGTAGAGTACACACCACCTCGTTCCACATTTTCATGATTTATTTTGATGTGATATGATGAGTGATACATTTGTGTTATTTGGATATTTATGATGATGTTTTGGGGATTCTAGTTTTATTAATTTAAAAATGAAATTTTTTTAGTCTTGTTTTTGGGATATTACAGATGAGGAGGGCAATTTGTATCTTTTGAATAGACAAAGGATTGGGAGAATAATTTGTGTCCAAGCTCACTACCTTCGGTTTGTCTCCAATCTCTCTGCCTTCGGTCTTATAAAAAAGAGAATAATTTTGACATAGGGATGTGAACCGTTCTGAAACCTGCCCGAACCGAACCGGAATTGAAAACGAAAAATCATGGATTGAGAGATTCGGGAACCAGACCGAATACCACTAATCGGTTCCGGTTCGGTTTTGTTTCATAAATGTTTGTTATGCCTTGATAATATAAATTAATTCCATGAATTTTTGTGCATCGTTTTGTGCTCCCTTTATAGGCTTAATGTTCAGCAATTAGAATCAAGCTAAATTAAACTAACCCCATTAGAATAAGACTATAAGAGTTGTAAGGAGCTAGAGCTCAAATGATTATATCTTTCTTTATTTTCTAGAATTGAATGCAACTTATTTGTTAAATACATTGAATCTCGTTCACCGGTTGTATCATGACATTATATCTTTTAAGATTCATGGGTTGATTTTTGTTTTGTTTGTGTACTTTAATTTAAGGGGTTTTATATTGTTAATGGTGGAAAAAACTTTTGGACCTTGCAATAGTTTATCTTGGTAATGTTGTATTACTTTTTAAGTGGGGTTCTTTTTTATTTAAATATGCATCTCTTTTTATATTTAAAGGAGTGGTTCTAATGTTTAATGATGCGTTGTAATCTGTTTTTATGGAAGAAACAATTTGTTTTTAGGGCAGTTCTCATCATTCTTTGGTGTTGTTTTAGAACAACAACATTAATAATGGTATTTTTTAAGACAATATTTGTTTGTGCGGCTCAATATCCCCATCAATTAATTATTTTAACCGCATCAATAAAAACAAAAACTTTCTCTACTAGTGTCTCTACAATTTTCACATGGTTATTAAAATTATATTTAAACATTCTTCTTCTATTCACAGCTAGATGATCGATACTTTCATTCCAAGTGTTTTTTTTTCAACTTACCCTAATAACAAACTTATCTATATCTCATGTTCACACAATTAGTATCAATCCTTACGAGGAAGTTCCAATTGTACTGCTTTTAATTTGTCTAAATCGATGACCACCTCTCTCATGCTTGGTCTTTCCTTCACATTCTTCTTCATGCATGTCTTAGCAAGCTTGGTGACAAGAAGAATATCGTCCATCAGAGCTTCATCCAGAACGTGCTTGTCTAAAATTTCAAGCACGCGGTTATGTTTCACTAAGAACTGGAAACGTGAAACCAGACCTTCACTACAATTTATTGAAGATACAACTTTTCTTCTGGTTAAGAGCTCGGTAAGTACCACACCAAAGGCGTAAACATCACTTTTTTCTGTAAGTTGCCCCGAACGGAAGTATTCTGGATCTAAGTATCCAAATGTGCCTTCAATTTTTGTAGTTAGATGAGTTTTGCAGAGAGGTATTGACCTTGAAAGTCCAAAGTAGACACTACAGCTTTGTAGTTCTGATCCAATAAGATGTTATGTGGCTTAACATCCCTATGGAATATGGCTGGGGATGCATATGAGTGCAAATAGAATAATGCTCCTGCAACATCCCTTGCCACTCGCATACGATCTTTCCATGAGAATTTGGAAACCTCTTCCCCATCATGAAGATGTTGTGAGAGGGTGCCATTGGATAAATACTCATATACTAATAACGGGACTTCATATTCCAAACAGCAACCTAACAGTCTAACTGTATTCCTATGGTTTATCTGTGCAAGAATGAAAACTTCATTAACAAATCGTTCTACCTGGTCTTCATCTACTACGTTTGACCTCTTTATGGCTACAATGGTTCCATCTGTCAAGAAACCCTTATACACTGTACCCTGTCCTCCCTTGCCAAGTAACCGACTTTGACTAAAACCAATGGTTGCCTTCTCTATCACTTTCGCAGAATAAATTTTTAGTTTAATTACATGTGATTTATTAGCTGAGATATGCTGCGTCAATAGATATCCACCGTTCCTTTTAAAGAACTCCAGCTTGATCTTATTTTCCTTTCTTCTGCGGAGTTCTTTATATGTCCAATGACCAATAGCACCAATGGGAGTTATTTGCAAAAATGGGGCAGTTTTCAAAAAGGTTAGTAGAAACGGGGCTGTTTTGAATGCCTTTGTAGAAATGGGGCTCCTGGCCCACTAAATGAATACGTAAATATATATTGATCCTCACAGCTTACAACAATAGTCCTTAGTTTTTTATAATATGTTCAAACTTTATCCTTTTATATATTTTTTTCTACATTTTTACTACATCTTATTATATTTACTTATTATATTTACGTAAATATTAAATATACAAAATAGTCCATAAAAATATTCAACATTGACCCTTATTTTATGAAATATGTTACCACTACATCTTATTTTATTTTTTATTTGTATTTTATACATTTACTTAATTTAATAATATTTAATGTAAATATATTATTCAATTTATAACTAATGCTTATTAGTTTTCAATACTAAATATATCTCATTTATACATTTCCATTAATACTAATATTTAATATTATAACAATAAGAAATAAGAAAACACGTAACTAAGATTACATTACTAAAATTTAAAAATCATAATACAAAATCACACAGGAAATACAAGACCAATGAAACATGAAATTACAACACAATAAAACAAAAACATAGTTTACTACTCATTGAATCTTGGTTGAGAATTTGAACAATTTCTTCTATTATGACCTGGCTGGTGGCATAGTGTACATCTACGAGGTTCATCAGGATGACGAATGTCCATCTCATTATGAATTCGATTTGCACGCCTTCGTCCTCGATGAACAGAAAGTTTTGAGTAATCTGCTTCAATCGTCCAGTTTGAATCCAACCAATAATCAACATGAGGAAGTGGTACAAACCCAAAATTATATTGTTGTCTGTATGTCATAGTAGTGTACACATTGTTCACAATGGAAAGAGGGTTGTCCCCTCTATTCCGACAAACTGCAAGTGCATGTGAACATGGAAATCTCTCCATTTGCCACTTACCACAAGTACACATATGTTGAAAATAATTAACAGTCTATGTATTTCCTCCGATTCCATTTATCTGTGACCTTGTGACAACTCTGTAAACACCTTCATTGTAGTGAAACTCAGATAAAACATGACTTTGTGCACGAGTGTCACGTTTAAGAAAGAGACGCCACATACATTTTGGTAGAGGTGTAATGTAGTTCATTGCAATACCACTATGCTTTCTGAAAAGTTGCACAGTTCTATTGAATGTAAGGTCAATACACGCCCTAATTGGCAATTGTCTCGTTCCTCGTAATGCATTGTTCATACTCTCAGAGATATTGGTCGTTAAGAAACCCCATCGGTGATTTTCATCATATAAAAGACACCATTGACTTCTTTTAATTTCCCTCAAATACTGCAAGCTTCCATATTGATTGCTTTTATTTCCCTTATATACTTAGTGAACTTCCTTTTTTGTGTGGTGCTACCCATAGACCAACAATTTTTTTAAGGTTTACATTCTTGTACCTTTTCATGAGATTACTTCTGACATGCCTCAGACAAAAACGATGGTATGCTAATGGCTCTTTCCACTCTTCTAGATTTTCCATTGCATGAATGATTCCTTTGTGCCTATCAGAAAGAACACATAATTGTCTATTTGGAGCAACAAAATTTCTAAAATGACCCAAAAACCAACACCAACTATGAACTGTCTCCTCGTCAACAATGGCATAAGAAATTGGTAATATATTATTGTTAGCATCTTTTGAAGCAGCAACAAGCAATTTTCCTTTGTAAGAACCCTTCAAATGAGCACCATCGATAGAAATTACAGGGGACACAAATGAAATGCTTTAATAGCTGGTCCAAAAGCCCAAAAATATATTTGAATTTTGCCACTTGTGATGAGCTATTTTGGTTATGAAACCACTTGACAATTGTATCAGGGTTTGAAGCCTGCAAAGCTGCAATATACTTGGGTAACTCAACAAAGTTACTCTCCCAAGTTCCATAAATGGTCTCTATGGATTTTCTTCTTCCATGCCATGCCTTCCAATAAGAAACGTCAACATGAAAATGATTTTTTATATCTGCTTGTACATGTTTCACCGGGTAAGCAACATCTTTTTGAATTGAATGGAGAATGTATGAGGCAATAACTCTAGAGTTTAGATTTCTGTTATTATTTCCAATACAAGATCCAAAACAATTATGTTCATCCATCCAATGTGTAATCTGCCACATATGATTATTTTTCTTCTTAATTGCACGGATATGGTGCATAGAACTAGAGCTTTCTCCTTCACCCACCTCGGTCTTACATTTTGCTACCCATTTGTTATGTTTACTTTCATACACCTTAAACTCTCTATTTTGACTAATAGACCAAAGTATTACTGCATTTTTCACCTGCTGCTTACTTTAAAATTGCATTCCTAACCTAATTTTGTTTTCTGTTTCCTTCCAAACATCTATATGAATGTTGTCCTCTAAATTTTCTACGACATCATCTCCTATATTTCCAACATCATTCATAAAGTCTACAACTAATTTGTCACTCACATCATCAGAGTCTTCCTCAATATGGCTTAATGACTCACTACTGCATTCTGAGTTGGGATCATCAAATCCAAACTCATTATTTGGCTCAAATCTATCATCACTCGGCAAAGGAAATGGTACTTCAAAATTACGAAGGAGATCTACCAAACTAGTATTTGTAGGTATCACTATTTTCTCAATTTCAACACAAACTTGACCCCAATAATTTTCATCAGTCGCAGCTAAATAATACAACATGTCTAAGGTTGAATCATTTATAAGTGGTGCGATATTAGATCTCCCAGAATATTGGTAACATAATGACATATTCAACTTATATGAAGATTTTTCGACTCCAACAAGTGCATAAGCCAAATCTTGAAATTGTTCATACCGTATTTTTTGCCTAATAATGTCTGAAGCAGACATAGTTGATTCGTCGCCCTTGATGATTCCATTCTCATATTCAACATTGCCACCCCAATAGAGAGTAATCATAAATGGACGATTTAGAGCCATAAATATAACTGCAAGACAAATTGTATGATAACAGATGTAAATTAGTATCATATATATAGCGTTTTGACAAAAAAATATGCAAAAATATTTAGAAATTATATATACCTTATGTTTAATATATGAAAGAACTAATAATGTGAATATTATGGAAGCATGAAAGACTGAGAATGTATATTTGCGTGGAAACAATTTTGTAAGAATGATGAAGAACCTTGGCTCGTAAGATCAAATTTATAGCATCAAAAAGTAAATTTAGTTCAATTAAAACTTTTAGACATGACAGTTCATGCAGCTTTAGCTTTTTAAGAGTTTTCAATAAATAGTGACATTTTATTTTGGATAGAGTGTTGCTTTTGTTTTGGATAGAGTGTTTGCTTTTACAGATTCACTATTTGATTTGACAAATCATATATAAATATTACTATTTATTTTTTAATTTATATGATTCTAATAATATTTATATGTTAATTGTATTTGTATAATTAAAATAGTATATAATATTCTAAAATTTTGAAATATAAATGAGATCGTTTGTGTAGTAAGAATAATTAAATGCTATATATAAAATTTAATAATATATTTAAGCTACATAAATTAGGTAAATAGTTAGGTAAATGTAGAAAAAATATATAAAAAGATAAAATTTGAACATATAATAAAAAAGAAATGATCATTGTTGTAAGTTGTGAGGGATCCTTCATTTCAATATACATTTACGTATTTATTCTGTGGGCGAGGAGCCCCATTTCTACAAACACATTTAAAACAGCTCTATTTCTACCAAGTTTTCTAAAAAGTGCCCCCTTTTTGCAAATAACTCCACCAATGGCAAAGATTCCAATTACAGTAGCAATAATTCCTACATGGTGAAGTTGAAGTTGGTTTGAAAATATGTACGTGTATGCGTGTGTTTTTTTGTTTGCATATGTGAATCTGTTTGTGGCTATATATACACGATCAGAGAGATTGTAGGAGTGATTAATTACCTAAGATGATTGATATGTGACAATATGGGGAACTGCACTTGTAGCTCCCAGGTGTATTGATACAAATCTGATCCACTCTACAAGGATAGTTGCTGTGGTTTAGACACTCGTTTATATCTAATTTTGATTATCAAGAAAACATAGACTCGGTTAGATCTTAATTAGTGCTTGATGATCCCTTGATTGTATCAGGTATTCTGGTGATAATAGGGTCATTTTATTATTCCTACATGATATATAAACAGCTGTATGTAAGGTATTTTTGTTAAATGG